AAAAAAAAAACACTCTTACCTATATATATATACATACATATGATATCTTTGGTATGTATTTACAGTTTTTTGAACCTTATGATGTCCGCAGCACCATTTCGATTGTATCCAAAATGTCGCGTGGTGCTCGCCGCGGTGCTGCGGTGCAGAGCTGTGTCGACTTCGGTTTGAGCATGAGATTGTTGTCATGCAGCAGATCGGGCATTCATCTGGAATGAGGCGTTGCTGCTGGCAGCTGGACTTACCCGATGCTTCATTGCACCACAAGCAGGTGGTCCGATTCAATAACCCACGTGTGCCATCTGGTTGCCTTGTCGTAAAGACATGTTATACGGTATCATCCATCAGGTGGTGAGCTTCTGAGGCCTGCACCTCGTGTCCGTGCCCGTGCAGTGCACAAAGTAATTAGTTTGGTTGTTTTGATTGCAGGCATGGCCAAACATCTGCACCCGATCTTGGGCAGCTGGTGCCGTGTCCACCAGTGTTTTCGGAACAGGGTTGCAAAGGTAGCTGCCCAACTTTTTATTCTTTGGACTGGAACAAGTTTCTCTCACACTGTCCGTGTCAGCTTGACCGTCCGTCCAGGTGCTGGCAGCCTCCAGTGCGAATCAGCTGCTCGGGATTGATCGAATTGTTGTTTTGAATCTTCGAATATACAAATGGGATCTTGCGAATCCTTTGAGACGTGGTGACGCGTGTTGCAACAGTCTTTCCCGAATCGTGATTTGTCAGGGCCGCCATGCCGACAGAAACATTTGGACCAGATCCATTTTTCTGGACCTACATCATTGTTTCTGGCCTCATCATAGCGATCGCCCTGTTCTTGATTACCAAGCCGTTTTGGGAGAATCGCTGGCTTATGGAGAAAATCAACGCGCAACTTGCCGGCAAGGGACGAACCCACTTCGTCAGCGGCAGCTCCAGCTCTGACTTTCATTGCGGAAGTGCAGACAAGGCAGAAGCTGAAGTTCATCACCCAAGAGCAAGAGGCAAGCGACATTTCTTCACATGTCATGTCAATTTTGCACGGCCATGGAATCGGGGCCAAGTGTTCTCGTACTGCAGCAATCATCTTCGTGGTGTCATACAGACTCGTTGTTCTGATATTCGAGGGTAATTTGCACCCTTTGGACACTAATGCGCACAGCTGTTGGGCGAACTCGCAGGCTGTGCAGGGATAAGAACACCGTACTACGGCTTCTCTGTCAGGGCTTGTAGTCACGGTTTTTACGATAAGGTTCGAGGGGGCTCAAACGTGCCATTGACATGCATTGGAACAACACAGTACATATATGGTCAGGCGCTCCACGGCCCCCCACCCTCCCCCCCCATCATGGTCCATGGTCCAGGATGCCGCCCTCTGTGGGTGGGGTTTGTGGTTGTGGGGTTTTGTTGAGGGTTTAGCTTAAGCTATTGAATTTGGGGTTCGGGTTAAGGGTTGAAGGTTAAAAGTTATCATGTACGTATGTAGGTATGTGGGTATGTAGGTATGCATGTATGTATGTATGAATGTATGTATGTATGTATGTATGTATGTATGTATGTAGGTATGTATGTAGAATATATGTATATATGATGTATATATATATATATACATATGTATATATATATATATATAAAATTGCACATTTGTTTTATGTATCTACGTATGGATGTACACATGTAGATCTGTGTATATGTGAATAAATCTATACCTACATATGAATGTCCACATGTGTGTGTACACACACACATATATATATATATATATATATATATTTATGTATATACGTAGATATATATATGTATGTATATATATATATATATATATACATACATATATATATATATATATGATACGTATAAATTATACGTGCACATACTGCAGGGATTTTGCGAGGTCTAAGAATATATGCTCGAAGCAGTTTTCTACATGCAGAAGGTCGTTGCAGTGCTGGTAGTACGGAAGCGATTGCAGGTTGTAGGAATCAAGACAAAGGACTGCCGACTTTGAGCCGTGCAATGTGACTTGCACGTTGGTTTTCGAGAGAGCGGTTCCCAGCGGATAATGCTTCATTCTCTCGTCCGTCGATTGTGTTCAAACGACCTCGTGTATTGGTCGCATGGCTGCATCCTTGTACATGCTCGTCGTGAACGTTGTTTGATGCGGTGAGTGGTGGAAAGCCTTACAGCCCCATCGCAGCCGTCCCTCAATCGCTTTGTAGATGGTCGGGAGTCGGCAGGTACATTATATTGCTCATACATGCATCCCATCCATTACTGAGCGCGCAGGGACGTGCAGGGGGGTGCTCGTTGAAGAAAGCTCCAGATGGTGATCTCAAGCAGTGACATGCTTCATCACTATGTTGGGCAGGTGACCCCCCTGGACCAGTTCGAGCTTGGGAGGATGTGAAATGCCTCAATAAAACAACAAGCAGCCTTTGAGAATTGTATCTCCTGACCAAGGTACACCTCATTGAAGGACTTTCCCAGTGCGTTGGCAGAGCCTTCTGGCAGCAAGATGCAGCGGCGCGTTTGAACACGGGTTCTGCAGAAATCGAAGGTTCGAAGAGGTCGAGGAGGACTTTAACGAGGTCGGGGGCACCTTGGATCCCGAGGACCCGTGCCAGAGGGCTCATGCCGGAAGCCTGCACTTCGTCCTTGTTTCCTGTTTACGAAGTTTCTTCTAAGCCTCTAAGCTTCTCGTGACTGTTCAGGGCTCGAGAGCCGACAAGTGGTGTCTTGCTGATCGTGTCGCAGCTTTGCATGCTTATGTGTGATGAATGTGTGTGTTGCTCAGTGCCCTGAGGATTCCATGGGGGCCTTGGCAGCGCGGGCCCAGCTTCACAACAGCAAAGGCGTGTTGCAAACACGAGCTCGAAAACCCTTTCAATAGTGTTTTTTTGCAGGCTTTGCCCTCATGAAGTTGGAGCCACCGCGAACTGCTCAAGCAAGGCGAGAGTTTGTCAGAGCAGTCACGTCGCTGCCCCAGCATTCAGCATCTGATGTGTTCTGACAGAATCTTTTCGGTGCCCAGGTACTGGCCTGAATTTCCAGAGGCACGCTGACTGCATGCTGAATCACCCATTCTCCTATTCAGCCGACCTGGCAGGCCTTGATCAACATCGGAAAAGAGCTCATGAAGCGAAAGCGCTTCGATGTCGCTGCCGCCTGGCTGTTGTGGTCGTAGGGTGTGAAAGTTCTTTCCACACGGATATCCAGCAAGGTCCGCACCCTCAACACGGCATTGAAGTGGCAGCCCGGGAACCAGGAATTCTCGGATTACGCAGAGCAGGCGTGGTCATTGTGAAGGTTTCAATTATCAGCATCTTTGTGCTTTGCAGTGTTTGCTAGACGCGAAGCACTTTTTTCTGAAGACTCCAGATTGTGCACTCGGCTGCTTCTGTGAGGCAAGGAAAGCAATGGATGGGGAACTATCGAAGGAAGAAATGAAACAAATCGTCGCATAGCTGCAGGACATTTGATGTTGCCGTGTACTGGATTATGCTTGGGTGCACGGAAGAAACTTCCGATGCACGTCTGCTGCAGAGCCAGATGTTGCTGAGCTGGCAGCCACAGGAAACCACAGCCTTGAAGGCTTCGTCAGTGCCTGCACGAATTTTCGCTGCCGCACAGAGTCTGACAATAGTTGATCATTGAAGTCCCACCTTTCAGTAACTCGCTTGTTGCCAGACTCTGTCAAATCTTACGGGAAGGGCTCTGGTGCACGTAAGGAACTCAAGGAACTCAAACATGAATTATCGCTTGTCACATTGGCTGATGCCAGAGCCTTCGACCCATGTGTCTGTGCCATGCTTCAGTTTTAACGTTTATCCATGCCGGGCCGCAAAGACAAGGCATGAAACAGCCACAGGCAGGCTGGCTTAAACCTGGTTCGCCCCGATAAAAAATAGTCATGGACCTGAAGCATGCAGCATCCTGGCATGCACCCTCTCTTGACAACCCGCGGCCTCCCATGCGGTTCTATGGCTCACTGCAGGACCCCCCGTTGAGCATCAGCTATCGCCAGACATTCATGAGGATTCTGATCATTTTTGTTGAAAAGTTTTAAGTATCGCTAGATCGTGATCAACTGTTCATCCATATAACAAGGGAAGTGAACGCCTGCATCATTCCCATTGAATAGGACAAAGCGTGGAATATGATGTAGAGCATTGAAGCCCCACTTGTGCATGTGCTGTAAGTGTTCTGAACTGGCTGTGCGATGCAATGTCGTGGCAGCAATCAGAGACCGACTCCTTGACCGATGTGCTTAGTAGTGCACGTACACTGAGACAAGAAGACGACACGACGATGCGAACAGATCGAGGCCCGTCTGCGTTACGTCAAGCTTTGCTTGAATCCTGAGCAAGGAAACTGCTGAGACGTCAGATGGCGTACGTCACATCATCATACATGTTGCCGATAGTTGTTCGTGTAAAGCAGGTGCAGTTCGTCAGGCAGACTCTTGCTCACCGCACCTAGCATACTTGGACAGTCTTCATCGACATGACCCGCTGAGGACACTTTTTGTCGTCCTTGCCTCCCTGGCCCAGGCCGGGTTCTCTGATGTGGCCTCAAAGGCATGCTCTTGATATGCTTCAAATGATTGTTGTTATTTGCAATACCAATCTTTTTTTCTTGCTTCTGTTGTTGTTTTCAATGAATGGCGCGAGAAGTCATGTGTGCTGTGCTCCCGGCGCACAGGATTGCCACAGTTGCCCTGTCGCTGGTCCTGATCCTTGGTGTGGTTCTATTCGAAGGTCGTCCACGTGCTGCGATAAGTGGCCTGCTTAACAATTAGCTCATGCACTCAGAGTGTTGAGAAAAGTCATGTTGTCGCAGCTCATTGCGAGAAGACAATGATCTCAGGTCGAATCTCTCACCGAACCACCGAACCCTACGAAATCGAAGCTTACGTATCTGAACTTCCGATCTTTGGCACATGTCCTTCAAGGTGTTACACGCAGGCAGTAAAGGGGGGTGTGGCGTTTTTTCAGCTGAGGAATGCGGAGGTGGTGGATTGTCATCTCACTCTGGAACATCAACGCTCACTGGCGGGGTCCTTGGCATGACTCGTGACATTTTTCACCACAGCGACGGACGCATCCGCCTTTGTTGAAAGGTCATGCTTGCTAGCACAGCTCTCGAGAGCCCTGCTGCCATGACACTTGGCAGCAGGACTTTCCCAACTAAGGTATCGATGTTGGATGAGATGTAGGTAGGCATGGTATCCAAGTAGATGGGGTTGTCCATTTGTCCGCTCTCTGTTTAGACCCGTAGGCATCATCAGAGGTCTGTCCAAAATGGCATGGAAGTCATGTGAAGTTCTGGATCCCAGGAGAAAGTTCGTTGCGATGGTGAGGACTGGGAGAAGATCACTCAGAGTAGTGTTGCTGATGCCTGGCAGCCTGTCAGGAAGTTGCCCGGAAGGACAGAAGCAGATCCTCCGAGCCTCTTTTCCGGACTCAAGGCGGGAGACCGTGGACCCCCAGATTTTGTATGCCCTCTCTCGAAGTGTGGAGTGCAGGTGCTTTTCCTCGAAGATGCAGGCCTCTTGAAGAGCTCCTTCTGGAACCCTGCAGATGCGACATCGGGCTGCATCGGTAAGGAAGCGTCTGAACTGACTTGTATGCTTGCTTCGTATATCGGAGTTCAGAGGAACTTTAACAACTCGGCTGGCCTCAACTACCAGAAGATGGCCAGTAGATCAGGCTTCGCGGCCCCGGTGCTCCAGTTCTTCTCGCGTTGCAAGCATGGCAGATGAGAGTCTTTCCGGTCTGCTAGGTTTGCGGCTGAATCCAAAGAGGATATCAGCTTGGACCAAAGGTTTTACTGGGTTGGATGGGGGTTGGCGTCTGGGCTGCATCCAGTAGGTCTGACTGCGGATGAATTCTTGATCCACTTAGTTTTTGCACAATGCTCTGCGCGTCCGTGGGTCACTTTTGCGGCCTTGTAGTCTTCAGCACCCAAGGTCCTACGACAATGGAGCAGATGTCGGAATAGGCATGTTCGGCCTTCCACCCTGCAGAAGTTGTGCAGCCTTCGTCCGGCGCAAGGAGGCATTGGCTTCGATGCAAGCGATTTCACCTACGCCTCGATTTTCGATCTCTGCGCGTCAGAGCAGCAAGCGCAGGTTGCGCGGATCGATCAAAGATGCAAGTGCAACCTCTACTGTAATGGGTCCAGTAAGTTCAAGACCAGGTTTAGGTGTGTTGCCGTGACACGTGTGCGCAAAACATCCTCACTTGCGAGGCTTTGTTTGAACTCCAGTCTCAACATATCGTTCCCTGGACTCCAATGGTGGTTGATTCGCAGCATCCCTGCATTGCGAAGCCCCTCGTCTGCAACACAGGCAGCAAGATCGCAGCCCAACCTGGACATATCTCAGGTTCGAAGCTATGCTGAGCCAGGCCTATCACCTACACAATGCTGTCTTCAACCTCTGTGCCGGTTGTGAACTCATTGCCCCATCTCCGTCTCATCTTCTTCTCAGCAGGTGAACATTGTTTTTGCAAACGGTGGCAACCCGGATCTGTTGGGCTCCTTGGTTCATGCTTGATGCTTTTGCATTCTCAGACTACTGGATGGAAGCCCTGCCTGATAACCCCTGCGCACTGAGGTTTCGTGTTAATGAAATTTGCACCCCATCTGGGTGAAATGATAAAGCGGCGCGTGCAGAACGGAGAGTTGCTCTACATGGGGAGGCCGTGGTTGAAGTTTAGTGACCATGCAGAGTCGCAGTGACTGTGTGGCGTAAACGGTGAAACTCCATGTGACCCTGCAGAAGCGCCGGTGCAATGGCTGCTTCTCGAGACTTTGCAATGACATATGAGCCTAATCCTATGCTCGTCTGAAGCCCAGAGCATGCAGAGCATAGCGATCCACTTTGGGCTTCGTCTTTCTGACAGACGCCGAGCTTTTTGGCCGACTCTTACCGTTCTGCTGAGGCGGAGACTCTCCTGGATGGCTCCACTGAAGGACTTTCGCTTGCAGGTTCCTGCGCTTTGAGGCCACACGCGTCGATTCTCGTTTGCAATTCGCATGATCGCTCAACTTCAGGAGCCCTCTCGTATCCTGGTGTCGGCTCGTAATTGTGCACTATTTGACTGATAGGGCTTACTCAACAGAACATGGCTGCGCAGTCGCAAGGGCGATGCGTGCTGCACAGGCACTCTAGCAGAGGCAGTCGCCAGGCAAGAGGCACATGCGCATCGATGTCTCTGTGAGGAAGAAGCTGTGGAACGTACCTGGCGATGTTTTTGGCCATGCTGCCGGCCAGCAGACGGTACGGGTTGCCAACGGAACCTTGGGCCACCGTCTTCGGTTTTTTCACCGTGAGCAGTAGTCTTCCGGTCCTTGGGTGTTTGGGACCGGCAAGGAGATGGTCTTTTCTGCGATCAGGGACATTGCGTCGTTGCTGGAAAAACATCCAGATCTGGTGGCCTGGTCAGAATTTCGAGATGGTTGTCAGACCAGTGGGAAAGGGTGTCGTAGATGGTGTGGTCTCCTGGGTCTTCTTTGTGCTGATCTCATATTCTGCTGGTTTTCTGACATAGCAGCTTAGCGCGTCCATGTGCACGAATAGCCTGCGATCAAGCGTAGGAGAAGCTGCCAAAGAAGCAATGAAAGATTGCATTTTGAGCGCACTTCTGAGAACCTGATGCCTTCTCGACGTCGAAAATGCACCTGGAGCGTGTCGTCGAGGCTCCTATGCAAGTGAAACCTTTGTGAGTAAAAGAACGGTACAGTTTTTCGTGAGAAACTTGGTAAAGGCGCTGGCAGAGGATCTGCAGTCGTTGGAGAGTTGCAAAGCGAAGACGTGAAGATTGGTCGTCATTTTGAGTCCATGAGCCCATGACCGTGCAGGCCTATCGGCACGTGTACCGCGGCTATCGTCCGAAGAGACCGAATCTCGCTGGATGCCAAGTCGCATTCGCAGGTGGCAGCAGTAAACCTGCAGCTGTTGAAAGAGTACCTGAGTACCCGATCAATGGGTGTAGCGCAAGGAACACCCACCAGTGGATTGCACTTTCCACAAAGTGCATACAATTTCATACAATTCTTGCCAAAGTATCATGCTGTCCACAAGAGCTACAAGAGTTTTTTGTGAATTTCACCGTTTGAAGTCTTCATAATCAATCCGCAGCAGAGATAACCCGCAGATGTTACGATTGGCAACTGCCTTCTAACTTCTAACAGACTAGTATCGAGTCTGACCATCTGCCAAGCACAATCGTGAACTCACTTCTGCCAGACTTGGCTTCTGTCTGAAACGTCCTGTGGCACTCTTGCTGTACTGCTTGGCTGTTAATCGTAACTACGTGTTGCTTTGCCCGGCCCGAGTTTCCCTACGGCAGCAGGCATTTGTTCACTAGGTTTCAGGGGGGAGGTGGGTTTGTGAGGGGCCTGCGAGGGCAAAGGAAGCGGAGAGTGTCAACAGTTCAAAGATCAGATGCCCCTGGCCTTGCTGAGAGCTGACTCCGAGGTGGAATCCTCAATGCCAGAGAGACCGAACTGTCCCTGGGACTTGATTTTGCATCTCGTGGTCGAAGGGTCGTTGCAATTGACATGTCAAGGTTTGTTGTTCTTTGCATGGCCACCATCTGCTGAGTGTTGTAGAAACCAGAAGAGGTCGCTTGGTGCTGAGTGGAAAGAAGCCGCTGGTAGCTCTGGCATCTTCCGGACTGGAAGCCCCGGATGCAAGGGACGCTTGGTCTGAGGTGTGTAGAGCGTAGAATCGTAGAAGGGGGGGGCAGCTTTGGGATCCTTTGCCCCCCAAGGAAGCTTTCGACTCCCTCGTCCGAGAATTGCCTCCGACGGAAGATGCCAGCACCACGAACCACTACCAAGGTTTAAAGGCAGCTTGACGAAGATTGGATACATCACATCACATTTATAGCCCCTAACTTGTGTTCTGTCCGAGGTGCTGGTTCTGGATGACGGAGCACTGTTGACAAGTTCGTTCTGGAATTCATTGGACCAAGATTTTGCCAACCCGAATGCTATCAATTGCGTCAAGACAGGCATTGCTCAAGCGTTGCATGTCTCATTGCTTCGAGCCTGTTAGTTCTGATGCGTTTGCGATGTTGCTTTCGGTTTATTGTCATACCACCTCCCTCCATCTAAGAAGTTCGCCTGTGTCCGTCAGCCCTGGTTTATCTCGCGCTTCTGTAGGGAGTGAGTAGTAGCTGAATATCAGTGCTCGGTGGTGTGAAAGCCTCCGCGCGTGTGCCCGTGCCAAGCAGCAAGACACCCGCCTCTTCCCTGCGAATGCCTCCCTACGCCGGCAGTCCTTCACGGTTTCTAGTATGGCTCTACAGCTCTTACGGTTCCTATCCTCAGCGAGCAAGACAGACTGGATGAGCAGGGAGACTCGCCTTTTCTTTCCAGGAGAAAGATGCCCCCAAGAACTGACACTGAAGTGTCTTTGCAAGATGGTGCCTAACTTCCCCTTTGCAACAGTTACTTAAATTTGCTTTAACCGTCAATCTGTACCCAGGTCTTGTCCACCAGCAACCGGACTGCGACCACATGCTATGAAACTACACATGCTACATGTGGGTTTCCGTTCCGTCTGTAGGGCCTAAAGGTACAGCAAGCATGAATTCAAGAAGAAGGCAAGCGAGGAATGCGGAAGAGGAAGTTACACATACCTACAAACCGACAACAGCGTTGGCCCCACTCAAACCAAGAAATTCGGTCAGAATGCCAAGTGATGTTGCCTTGTAGGATCTAGTGAATCTAGTGTCAAACTGGCCAAGCGGATGGACTGTGTTGATCTGTCAAACGGTCCGGTTGCAAGCGATACGACATGCAAAAATCTAGGATCAATTGTCTCACAAGAACGGTTTTGATAACTTCAAGCCACGAGGCAGCCTGACAAGCACGTTTTTCATCCCACTGTGTGTTGCAGGCATTCGGTTGAGTCCCGAAACGGTGCGACTGCTGACAAATGGATTTTCCGGCTTGTCTCCGGGCTGGCTGCCTGGCTGCTTTAAACTTCATGTCAGGGGGCGAAGTGCTTGCATGTCACCAGTCCATCAGGGTATTAGATCCAGAGTGCAGTGGGACCTGCGGTGGCTTGGGCGATGTCGGCTTCGACGATGGCGCATTCACGCATGCAGCTGGGCTTTGACGCTCTGACTCCCACATTCCCTTGTCCACAAGCGCCTCCATCGAGGCATCAGCTTTCGACATGTGCGCAACCTTCCAGCAGAAGGAGGCGGAGAGAGTTTCAGGACAGGGCCGAGCTTTGCATCTGTCCGGAGAGGCTCTTTTTCGACTACAGTCGCAAGGCCTCGAACCGGAGGCCGGGAAAGCTGGGCATATCCGGGCATCCTCGCTTGCGTTTGTCAGCACGCGCTGGTCCGATGGGCGTTTAGAGACCTGGCCAGGTGGACATGACGGTGGAGACCAACAGTCCCTGCATTCAGCAGCAGCTTAGTTCGCAGTCGGTGTGGCATCTGGCGCCTTGGGCTTCCATGCCGAATCAGGTTCTACACCCTGCTGGAGCAGGCGCCGTCATCACAGCCCATGGCATGCCCATGGCCGAACAAAGAACCCATTATTGCCACTGCCATCTCCAATGTAAGCAGCAGGCTTCGGTTTTAGTCGCCAGCTCTGGAAACGCGGATCTGCTCGGCAGCTTGGCTCAGTGATTGAAGCGGGCGTGTATGAAGTGGCTGTGTGCATTCTTCCCGTGATCGACTCCCCAGAACAAGGCTATGTCTACCGGATCTTCGCACCTCAGTTTGGAGAAAAGATCGTTGAGCGCGTCCAGCAAGGCTCTCTGATCCTCGGACTTCCAGAGCTCGACCGAGCAGTGACTGTTGCCACAAAAAACCTAGGGGATTCGCACCTAGAACGCTGAACCCAAAGCCCCTAAATCCGAAGCCCCTGAACTCCTGAACCATCCTGAACCCTATAATTATAGTATCATGTTCCCCAAAACCCTATTCTACTTATTCGTGGGGTTATAAGTCCCTTAATATCCCAGCCCTGAACTCGAAGCCCTGAACTCGAAAGTGTCGAGGATCTTCCTGGGCCTCGGCGCGGGCGCCATGGCCTTCGGCGAAAACTTCGCAGCCGCGGCGACGCCGAGCCCGGCGCTGCAGACGCTCCTTGGGCTGCTCCTTTTTGGGGCTTCGAGGTTCGGGGCTCCAGTTAAGTAGAATTCGCCGGAGGGAAGCGCCTCCTGGGACAGATCCGAGGCTTTTGAAAAGCGACCTGCAGGGTCTCAAGCTCGCCGGGCAGTGCGCTGTCATCCCTGGCTGGGACAGCGGCGAGCTGCTGCTCGGCCTGTAGAGGTGGTACTGTAGCGAGAAGCTTCACGCCGCTCTGCAGACGAAATGGGTATATCTTTGTTGTGAAGCGCAGCAACGGTGCCTAGCTTTTGGGCGAAGCAAGCAGCAACAGTAGAAGCACATCCGAGACACAGATTACACAATCAGGCAATCAGGGCCCGGAGTCCATGTTCCAGCCAATCCCTCGAGACACGACCTGGCTTTGCAAGGCTATGGGATCTCACCTCCAGCTTGTTCCAAGACGCCATGCAAAACGTCGACATTGTTGGGCAGTGGGCTGAGTTTGTGAGTGCAAGGGGACAGTGAGGCCGAAAGCTCTTTTGCGCACCTAGGACCACGTTTTAATGCATCTGAGAGGGGATGCCAGCTGAGCACTTGCTCTTCGTGTTGCGAGCTCTAAAGCCTCTGCATTCACGGGGCATCAGGCTAGGTATCCTTAAGACATGCTTGTAGAAGGAATGCACTTGGATCGTGCAGTCCTCTAGTACTGCCGCCACATTTAGATCTGCCTGCGTTGTTGTCAGCTCATTATCTTTTGTTAGGTCTGGTCTCTATCATCATATGCCATACCCCTTGTGTCTGGTTACTGGTAGCCACACCCCGCCTCCAACACCTACAGCCAGCTGCTCCTCTGTGGCTCCGTTACCGCTCCCTTATGGCTCTTGTTGCAGCTCCAGTGACATCTCTTTACAGTACTCCTTGTGGCTCAGTTTCTGGACTCTTGTCTTAAGCGGACTGCACAAGGTGGGCATAGCCTAGCTGTCGAAACGAGTATAGCTACTGTGTGTGTGTGTGTTTTCCGAATGCTGCTTGTGCTAAAGCGCCCTTTCTGGCACTCTTGTCGTAAACGTTTACTTTTGGGGGGATGTGTGGAAGACGGCCTTCTGGCGAGTCTGTCGGTTCCGTTGTGTTTGTACCTGAGCTCCCTCGCAAAAAAAAGATGGACACAACACAAAGGACAACTTCAAGCATGCCAGCACGCGTCTGAAACAACCCATTCCACAAGTGCCTAATGGTGCCGAGAAATACACAGCCCCAAACAACCGACAGTCTCATTAAGTAATCGTTGGCGTGCAAGTAACGCGACATCGTCGGTGCTTGAATTCTGTCGCTTCTGCAGTGATAACATCGATAAGAAACGAAAGCATTGCGCGCATTCCAGAGCAACTTCGACGGACCTGATGTGCTCTGTTGCCCAGCCGTGAAGGCAATTTGCATAGATGGGCACTTGAATTGCTGTGTCTGGTGGAACCTGACGATTTCAGGCTACCAGATGGTGCCTTGCTGCTTTGCAAGCGACAATCTTGCGAGTCGGACACCGAGTGGAATGGTGTCCTTATCTGCTTCGGCGGGTCCTCAAAAGTAATATATCTTTCGAGGATCCGTGGCAGTGTCCGGCAGCGCCCTGCACGTGTCCTGGATGGGCCTGATTCACCTGGAACGCACCGCGGTCGCCTCGCGGATGCCTGCTGTCTGCAAGTAGTTCTGGTTATCGATTCGGCATGTTCGGATCTCCCTTCGTTCCAGCCAAGGTGATGGCAAAAGTTTTCGGCTAAGAGTCTGCTGAGGCCTCTAGCCCTTGTCTCGGTTGGCAAGGTGAGGCCTAGCTTTGCTCCACAGGGCGGATGACTTGAACCCGACTGAAAGCTTGGCCCGGCTGAAGACCAGCCGTGCCTCGCAGGAGAACGGATGTTGCTCTCATTTGCTCACCAAGCTGTTTGTAAAAAGAAGGCGCACGTTGTGGAACCTGCGTCGAACAGAAGGCAAGTTGTGGGTTCATGTATCAGTTCAATCGTCAGGAGCCTCAGCGTTTGTGGCTCAAATGTCTTGCGTGGGCTGGGCAGCAAAATGCCTTGGGAGGACATCCGGAGTGTTGGGGGGGCACATGTTTCCCATTGCCTGTTCGTTTTGTGTTTGTTTGCGTGTGTGTGTGTGTGTGTGTTTCTTCTTGTTTTTCCCGCGTCTTCTGCAATGCTTTGGAGGGCCCCTGATATTTTCCACAAGTTTCCCTGCATGCCTCGCAGAGCCGTGATCCCGAAGCTTCCTGGCAGAGAGATTGAAAATGGTAGAAGCGCAGAGCTGCAGGCTGGGAGACTAGAGTTTCTGTTGACTCCTGCAGCTTCAGGTTGCCTGGTCTCCATAGCCCGCCAAGCCCTTTATAGTACCAGTCACCACGAAAGAAGGGCCCCCAAGGCCTTGGCCTGGGAGGAGTAGGGAAGTAGAAGATGCAAGAAGTAGTAGAGGTGCTGCAGGCATCCCCTGAGCCGGCAAGAGCGCAACAGAGCGTGAGTCCTAGTCTCAAGGATGACTCACTGACTCAAAATCGAGCTTGAAGAAGACCAGCTAGCTTCTCTCTACCTCTGCTGGATCTATACCCCGCACGCAGACACGCCTGTGATTCTACACAGTGCAGTCGAGGGTATAATTGAAGTCTCTGGATTTCAGTCCCATGTGAATGGACTCAGCAACTTGAGTGGATCGTGAAGACCAGGAGTCTGGCAGGCTTGGAGCTGCCAACAAGCAGAACATCCGAACGTTGGAACGTGGATCAGAACCCTGAACGTGGACACTTTCCGGTCCTGGCAGGAAAACGATCTCCCGACAATCAGTGTGAAGCCCTTGAAGGATAGTTACTGGCTATATATTTACATTCGACCATTGCATGCAACAGCATCAGGCGTTCTCGTCGAGTGATGCCGCCCCGCCATCGAGCATGCTGTAACTGCTGCAGGCATGCAACACCATCAAGGAAAGCAGCGAGTTTACATACAGGCTGCAACATAAAATTAAATGAAGGATGTTTGCGCTGTCGCAGTTCGTTGGTCTCGTTGCGAATCTATGCTTTGCCACACAAGCAAACCTCCAAAAGACCTGGCCGTCGGAAACACTTTCGCAAAATGCATGCAGGAAAGCCAAGCGAAGAATATGCGAAGGGTCCTCCCTGTGGAGCAGCGGCTCCGGAATGGTAGACGCCCCCCCCCCTCTTGCACAGCATCGGCAAAGTCCTTCTCAGCCGCCAGCTGATGTAACTTCAAGCATGTATCACCAAGCTCAGAGCTCAATTAAGAGCTGCTTACAGTGCTGCCTACGTCAGGAAACCACCAGAAGATCCTCCAGACAGGTCGCAGCCCCAGATCGGAATGCGCTTTGTCACAAGCTTCATGCAAGACTGTATGTACACGTGAATTCAGGCGTGATTAGTGCATGTCTCCAGGCTGATCACGTCTCGTGCCCCGAACCCTAGACTTTCAAACCCGCAAAATACAGATAAATATTATGGAGGAGTTCTAAAGTATAATTGACAGTGTATAGCAACGCTACGAACTATTGGGTCTTCTCGTGAAATCCAACAGTGTATAGTCTTTGGAACTTTCAGAAGTTGAAACTGGAACAAATGATCCCGTCTGGAGAACTAGTGTCCCAAGCAGCGATGGCATGGACGCAAGAAAGGGAAGTTATGCGACACATTCCATAGCAAGTGAAAAGCAAGCTTATAGTTGGTTCGGAGATTGCATTAAAAATAACCAATACTAACTCTTACAGAATATGACAATACATGTAGATAAAATTTCATATCGTTGACTCTGGGGATAACTGCGATTGTGAATGTGGCATGAATGAAACAAGGTCTTGTCTTATTTGTCAGATATGCAGGGTCTACATGTCTTATTGAAAACAACGAATATGATAATTCGGTAGGGGATGCCCAGATAGTATGAACCTCTACAAAGAAATTTCAAGTGCTTATAAGGGTCTCAATCGAACGATGTTTACAACGTTTTTTTTATGTAAAGTAAACGTTTATACAGTCATAAACACATTGTAGATAATTGAGAGCTTGTACTGACTGGAAACAAAAACAAACAGGAAATAGCTGAAAGTAATAGTGACTTGAACTCGATAAAGAATGAAGATATGGGCACCTTATCTGGTGTGCCATATATTGAAAACAATTTTAAAACAGTTGTACGATTATGGTTTACTTAAGGGATGGAAAATGTTTGTTGAACTTGTAGATGCGATGACAATCGACGGTACGAGAAGAGGAAAGCAACAATGAGAAAGTAACATGCATTGATATTCATTCTAGTAATCATGATTCTATGTAGGGGACGCAACTGCCTCACGAGGATTCTGTCGAAGCAACATTTCCCAGTTCAGGGTTATAGGCTTTGGTGTAATTGTCTATTAGAGCGTCGACCCCCGACCTCGGATTGTTTAGATGCTTTGTTGTTGGATTGTTTTTTGGTTCTTTGTGTTGGTTTTGGTGAGTTGCTTTGTTTCGGGGTTGTGTTACGGATTGTTGTGTAAATTGTGGGGGTTGCTTTGTGCGTTGCGGTTTTGGAATGTTGGAATTGCGGGTTGAGAAGTAGTGCAGAAGCGAGAGGGTTTAGGAAGTGAGGTCTGGGGTAAGGGGGTTCTTCGGATTTTGTTTTGTACTTTGGGGTTCGGTGTTTTTGTTGGGTGCTTTGTTTTTGGATTGTATTTGGGTTCGGCGTGGGATTTTGTGGGTGGGTTTGGTTTTGGGTTGCGTTATGGATGATTGAGTTAGTTTTTGGGTGCGCTTTGTGTCTTGCGGGTTTGCAAGGCTTATTCTTTTCATGGTGTGAACGCGTGGGCGGGGAGTATTGGGTGTTAGGTCTGGGGTCAGCCTTTGCTTGCTCGTAGACCCCTTTACACAGACCCGGAAACTGAAGGCTGGTCACGCTCTTCGACCAGATTCGTACGGAATGGCCAGAAGACAAGAAAGCCAGGCGACGAAGAAAGTGATGGCGTTGTAGCTATGTCACGAGCATTTTTTTATGTTCTTGTTGGTGTCGTTGTCGATGTCATTTCCATTCAAGTTGTCATTCATCTTGTCCTTTGCGTGATATGATGACTCCTCGTTGTTGTTACTATCCACTACTATGCAGTATGATTATCACAGTCATAACCATCATCGTTGTTGTTCTTGCCATTATCTCTATGTCATGTGCTCTTATCCTTCTTGCTTCTTTGGCTGCGGCTGCTTCATTTTGCCCGTTGTTCCCATCATCATTGTCAACTTTAGTGCTATCTGCTACACGAGCAGCAAGAACTGTTGGTCCTGCTTACACCGGTGGCGACGACGAAGACGAAGACTTACGAGCACCAGTACAATACCACTGCCACCATTGCGGCCACTACTAACCTTGCTGCTGGTGCTTGCTGCTACTGCTCGTGCTACTACCACCACCACCACCACTGCTACTACTGCCACTGCTACTGCCACTGTTGATGTTACTGCTATTGCTGCTATTGCTACTGCTGCTACTACTACTACTACTACTACGACGACGACGACAACTACGACTACTACTACGACTACGAATACTGCCGCGACTACGGTAGTATGATGAGTATTAGTACCAGTAGTACTCGTATTAGTAGTAGTATTTTGTAGTACTAGTACTTGTAGTAGTACTGGTGTTAGTAATACTGGTAGTACTAGGACTACTAATACAGTACTGCCACTACTACTGGTATGGGCCGTACTACTACACTTCTAGTACATCCAATGCTGCTAGTACTGCTCGTAGTCGTGCCATTCGACCAATACAACCAACAGTAGCTGGGTATTTACAGTACTTTCGTGATGTCGTAGTCCGATACCAACCACCGCTGTTGAGGGGTGGGGGGTGGGTGGGGATTGATGACGTGCTTTTTGAGAGCACATCCATTTTACGAGGTCTTTACAGTAGTTTCGTGATGTTGTAGTCCAAGTACCCTCGATGATTATGCTGGCTTTAGGCGCCAGGTGGGTGGTAGAGGGAGGGTGGCTACTATCAGTAGTAGTAGTAGTAGTAGTAGTAGTAGTAGGAGGACCACCACCACCACCACCACCACCAGCACCACCACCACCTCAATAGATGTAGGCATGATGTATGCATGCATGTATGTACGCAGGTAGGCATGTATGTTTATATGTACACTAATATACATATATATATATATATATATATATATGTATTACAAGACAAAGACATGCATCGGCTTCTAATAAACCAGAACATACTCATGACTCATGAAGTTTAACATACGGAGAAACAACAGACTCTCATAAGTAAGTAAGCACGGAAGGAAGTCAGTGAATCAGTAAGTAGGTAAGTAAGAAAGAAAGTAAGTAAGTAAGGAAGTAAGCAAGTAAGATACATACATACATGCAGCTTAGTGCCATGAGCGACTCCTCCTCCCACACAGAGAGCCCCAAAACCAAGCAGCAAACCCTAAACCCCTAAACCCTAACCCCGAACCCCTAAACCCCAAA